CGAGGAAACGGACCGGTGACGTCCATGGCAATGGAGAGACCGGGTTCCCGTGGGATAGGCATCGGGTGTAACTCGCCGTAGGGATTGCGGTTGTGGGGCTTGCTGAGTCGGCAAACTTCGCAAGAGTCGCAATACCGAGTGACATCGGTAATGAGGTCGGGCCATTGGAATCGCTGTCGAAGTCGTGCAATAGTGCGGTTGACTCCGAAATGGCCGGCGAGTCGTGAATCATGATACTCGCCGAGGAGCGAGTCCGAAGACGACGGTCGCGTGGGACACATAGTAAGTCCTTGCCTCTCGAGTGGAGGAGCAAGTACCCGTCGGCAATGCGGTAATGGCTGGCCGACGGGTGATCCGAAGATAGTTGTGCATAGAGCGTGCCGAAGTCCGGATCAGACTGATATGCCCAGATGAAGTGTCGCTGAAGCTCCTCGTCGAATGCGAAGGCATGATGTGTCATAGCGCAAAGATCAGGTCTTCCCGAGAGTGCATCTGCTGCGCGATTGGAGAGGCCGGGGACATGCTTCGGTGTGAAGTCAAATTGGTCGATTAAGTACATCCATCGTCCGATCGTGCTGCTCACCGTGTCCTGCGTCTTATAGTAGGTCAATGGATTGTTGTCTGTGACCCATGTGAATCTACGACGCCCAAGGAGGAAGTGCCGCCAGCGCTTGAGAGCCATCACGAATGCGAGCAGCTCCTTCTCCCTTGCATCATCAAGCGAGTTGATGGGAGGCACTTTGTGGCTGAAATACTCCACAGGGTGCCACTCGTCGCCGTCGTGCTGTTCCAAGACTGCCCCAATGCCATAGCCAGAAGCGTCCGTAGTCACTCGCGTCGGTAGGGTGGGGTCATAGATGCTAAGGATGGGTGCCATGAGCATAGCCGTCTTAAGTGCTTGGAATAACCGACGTGCGTCGTCATCGAATACGAATGGCAACTTTGGCGACTGTAACCTCGTCATAGGTGCAGCAATCCTGGAGTATCCGGCGATGAATCGTTGATAGTAGCCCGCCAACCCCATGAATGAACGAACGTCCGTGGTGTTGGTGGGCTCGGGCCATACTTGTAGGGCCTCGATCTTGTCCGCAAGTGGACGGATGCCTTGCGGCGTCACATAGTGTCCCAAGTACTCCAGCTCCTGCTGTGCGAACTCGCACTTGTCGCGGTTTGCTTTGTACTTGGCTTGTCGTAGCCGCTCCAAAACGGTGCGCAGGTGTTCCACATGCTCGTCCAAACTCCGACTATACACCAAGATGTCGTCGAGGTAGATRAGTACAAACCGATCCAGCATGTGTCGGAACTCCGTTGTCATAGCCGCTTGGAAAGTGGTTGGGGCATTCGTAAGGCCAAACGACATGACCAGCCATTCGAAATGCCCATACCGTGTCTTGAACGCGGTCTTGTAGCGATCCTCCTTGCGAATCTCGAGTTGGTGGTACCCTGACTTGAGATCCAGCTTAGAGAAGAACTGGGCGCCACCCAATCGCTCGAGAAGGTCATCGATGCGTGGGAGAGGGCCGACATTCCTGATCGTCTGTGCGTTGAGCTTGCGATAATCGATGCACAACCGCATGTCCTTGTTCTTCTTCCGGACGAAGAGAACAGGAGCACCGTATGGCGATGAGCTAGGCCGAATCCAACCTTTCTCCAAAAGGTCGTCGAGTTGTGCCCGAAGCACACTTAACTCTTCCTCGCTCATTCGGTAGATGCAACCGTGCGGAGGTACGGCCCCGTCCTCGAGGATGATCTCGTGGCGGATGGGTCGATCCGGTACTACTCCGTGCGGGCCTTCAAACACGTCGCTGTAGGCGTCGAGAAGTTCGGTGATGTGTGGATCCGAAGGTGAGTTCGTCGATGAAGCGTCATGGGGCAGGAGGGCATGGAGAAAACACACCCCCATCTCCTCGATGTCGTCTCTGATGATGGAAGCTCGCATGGTTGCGGCGGATACCACGTGGCAGCTGATCGAAGGATGAGGAAGAGGCACCGTGCATGGAACTAGTACCCCGTTCTGATCACGAATGTGAACGGTGCGGTGGAAGAAGTTCACCGGGTGATCCTCGCTTCGCAGCCATGACATGCCCAAGATCATGTCAAATTTGGTGTCCAGAATGTCAAAGAACACCGCCTCACTTGCGTGAGGGGCAAAGTACACTGGGACGTTGTCAATGCACCGGTCGATTGACTTGTGCGTGTGACCGTCCGCCAACGTGACTTGCGTAGGCTGGGGCTTCCTCTGGACGCGTGGGCCAAGGCCGGCGCGCACCATGAAATCCTGGTTGATGTAGTTGCGAGATGCTCCGCAATCGATCAAGGCACTGCAGGTCGCCTCTCCAATCTGAATGCGTACGTATAGCAATGGTGCGTCGATGTCGTCGTACCATTGCGTCTTGAACTCGTGGCTGATCTTCGCGATGTAAGCGTGAAGGTCGACAACCTCTGCTCCGGCGTCCATCAACGGAGCTGGTACTGCAGTGTGCAAGTAATCCCGCAATTGTGCCATGRGCACGTTGCAATGCGGTTTCGGCAATCGTCCGGTCGAGGGAACGGGCATCCACTGGAAGTCCATGAACGTCAATGGGTCGAGCTCTTCAAGTCTTGACCATGATGTCGAATCCCCAGCGATAGATTGCGGCGACGTTGCCGAATCAGTTGCCGATGGTGATGAAACCGTGCATGCGATGGATTGTTGCACGTGGAGCGGTTGGTCCAGCGGTGGAACCAAGTGGACAGCATAGTCCTCGTAAGTGTACCGAGGACTTGCGACATTCGCGTTCTCCTTAGACGTGCAGGAGGCCGGTAGCAAGGCGATCGAATCTGGCGGAGTAGAAGGTGGAGTCGCCTCACCTTCCGCGGAGCTCAG